ATTAAAACAAAGCTTCAATTGTTTTACCTCTGGTGTCACAATGTCCCCTTTCTATTGAACATTCATCAGAGAGGGGACAGGAAATATTTAAGAATGCTTTTACTGCAAGTCTTTTGGAAAATATGAAATTATGCCAGACTGATGTCTATGAATAATTACCTGTGGCTAATAAATATTTAACTTCAAAGAAATGCCTTGGTGATGAATCCTATTCAACTTATCAACTACAAAAACACCAGTAATAAAAGTACAATTAAAAGTTTTCTTCTTCAACATCTTTGCTCTTTTTTAATCTCTGGTCATTTTATTTGTTGAATTTCATGGTAAAAGGAAGATTGCAGTTTTTACTCATGTTCGTATCACAGAGCCAGTGTAGTGACCTGAACTGCTACTGAATACATTAATCCTCTAATTATCGTTTGAAGCACAGGTAAATTTTTCAATGTCTTTGAATAAATGTAGCTACTATTCCTACAGCTGAAAATAGATCTGGTATTGGGAAATTGTGTTATCTGAGAGATAATTTTGAAAAATACACTTTTAAACAGTCGTATTTATACAGACAGGAAATTGAAGAGCCATATTTAACATTAATTTTGTTTTCTTCATTTTTCTGGGTGAACTTCAGGCCATAGTGATATTAATAAGAAAATATACCTTTGTTGTGGTGAGATCAGGATTTAATCTTATATCTTTCAGTGCTTAACGTAAAATTATATTTTCCATGTGCTATTTTGTTAGTTACTAGAAAGAGAGTGCAATTCTGACATACAGCAATTATTTATAGAGTTCTGACTGGGTTTCTCCTCTAGTAATTTGAAGTATTTGAAGAAGTTGGTGAGTATTTAATAGAGGAAGATAAGTATGCATGCCATGAAAACAAACCTATTTGCAAGTAGATATTGTAAGGGGAAGATATGAAGGATGTGCACGCTCAGTTGTTTGTGTAAGAAACTGATTTCTACTTTAGGCATCACTCATGTGGGCTTCCTTTTCATTTCACAGAAAATTTGAAAAGTAAGGTAAATCTAGGAAAATGTAGAGCTAGGAATGGTGGTTAACTTTGGTTTCAGCTGTGGGTGGCTGAAGTGATGCAGGGGAGCTTAAAGTGGTGGATTGACTTAAAGTGAAATAGAGTAGGCTGGGGTAGAAGCATTCTCCTGGTGGTAATACAGTGCATTTTTTTTTCCTTTTTTTTCCATTTCCCAAATCCAACTTGCATCTGCTCAGGAGTTCTGTTGGGGCTTGTGCCTCCAGGTCATGCCTTGCATGGCCCCAAGGCACATCATCCTGGGTGGCCTGTGGATATGACTGGGGTGAGACCCCTCGTCTGAGGGTGTCTCATCCAGGCATCTTTGGCCAGAAACAGTGTGGAAATGCTCTTGGATCTAAGTGAACTGAAGCTTTAAAGAGAGGGGAACAGACAGCACTAAGTGTGTTGGATGGTCCTGCAAGACTCTGGTCATTTTTGGTAAATGAAATGTCTCAAGGATAGTGGGAATTTAAGGAGTGGGATTCAAGAAGTGTTTTTTTCCAAATCTCATATATCCAGTTTCTAAGCAGGACCCATACAAGTGCCTAGAGAGACAGCCTCTGGTTCTTAGGGGGAAAAAAATCCCAAAAAATAGTACAGAGTTAAAAGATACTGTTGGGTAATGGAGTTCTGGAAAATTAAAGCTTTGAGCAAATTAAAACTCCACCAACTGGACACAGTCCAAAGAATTTGGGAACTTTGAACTAATAGATTTCATAGAGTGAAAGAGAAATATTGACTAGCAATGGCAACAGTAATAGTATGGTGCAGGAAAATGCCCTTCCTTGGCAGATCTGAACAAACTTGATGCGTTTTTCAGCATCTACAGAATCAGAACAGTTGGGTTGGTTTGGTTGTGTCAATGCTCCAACCCAAATATGTTATTCATACTGATTACATTTGCATATAAGTTATATTTGAATTTGCCAGATGTCCGTTTATGTTTGTTTAAGTCATGAGGTCATTCCATGAAATGAACAGGACCTAAAAATATAGACAGAAGTGAGATTTAAAATATCTTATAAATTTTCCCATTTTGTGGTATATTATGCAAGCAGGAGCACAGCAATGTGGAGGCACTCTTCAAGAAAGCTGTGTCCATTGCTAACAGTTCATTAAACAATATATTATACAACAAAGCTTCATTTGTTTGTATTTCCCAGCCAAGCCAATTTTCCCATTAACAAGCATGTTCTCCTTCTGAATACATTCAAATGTACCATTTTCAAAGACAGCATCATTGCTTCTCTTTTTGTGTTATATGACGATCCCAAGTCTTTCTGGATTATTTTGTCATTTACTCCAGCATTGAAGATTTTTAGAATGCCCTGCTCAAGGCAATGCATATTCATAAACTGAGCAAACAAGGAGGAACTGAACTCTCAAGTTTTATGTTATTCATTTTCATAAATGTTTAACAAGCAATAAACTTTTCTCATGCACAAATGGAGACTACCAACTAGACACTTGAGTTCAACAAAGGTTCCTCAAATGTGTGCTTAATTCATTTGAGACTTTTAAAATCTTGCTCAAGCCTGACGAATTTCTGGTTTGTTCATGCTGCAGCCAATCACTACACACATTAAACATTTACTTTAGTGCTTGGTGAAATAAATTTAATCCTATACAATTTGAGATTGCATCCTTGGTAAAGAAATTGAGCAGCAGCATATCAGAACACACATCTGGTAAAGAAACTGAACAGCAGCATATCAGAACACACATCTGGTGAGCTACTCTGGCCCCTTTAAAGCAGAATTTGCAAGGAAAGGCTGCATGAAGAGAAAATGGAGAGTTTAGCCAAAGCTCATGGTCAAAGCTCAATAAAGAATTGCCTAGGAATATAATGATATAACATGTAATAAAAGGAAACCACCAAAACTCAGTTTCATGCTGAGCGTCTCCAATTGATATACCTACCAAAAGAATCTGATAGCATCATGTGAGAATTATATTAATTAGAGAAAGAGGTATCTTGTGTTCTTTCTTAACATGAAACAGATGATATTATGTGAACTGTGCTGTATCTGTCCATTCATTCCCCAAAGAAATATGGATCACAAGCACAAAAATATATCTGCAAGCTTCCCCAAACAAAATATTTTGCTTCAGAAGATACAAAGAAGGCAAGATACTTTTCAAATCATAGAAAATGCACCAGCACAACAGAGTGGGGTTTTTTTGTTCCATTGTTCCACAGTCTTCCAGGTACAGCTTCTTTAGAGATTAGTTTGCTGTTTCTTCCATTTTCTTGTCAGTAGCAGCTGTTCCTTGAATATATGAAGAACAGACTTTTCTGACATTTATTTGAACTAGATCTACTTTAAAATCTGTTGTAAATCAGTGGGCTAGGTTCTCATCTGGCTGTGTCTGGAGCCCTAATGCCTGCTTTTGCAGAGAGATGCAAAATTTTGAACAGCAGAAGTAGAAACACAGGCAGACTGGGTGGGACGGGCTTCTGAGTTGCCTGGTCCAGTGGGAGGTGCCCCTGCCCATGGCAGGGGGTTGGAACTGGGTGATCTTTAAAGTCCCTTCCAACCCAAACCATCCAATGATTCTATGCTTCTATTACTGAAGGAGAGTTTTATGATTGTGTGGTGTTTAGAAAATACATGTGTTTTCTGGTGGCTAGATTTGATGCATTCATCTCTGTTGAAACAAATTGCCAAAATATTCTAACTACCCAGTTCTGCATAAATTAGAGGAACTTATGGAGCAGAAAAGCACAGGGTCATAAAAATGTTTCCCTTTGTTTATTAAGTCACAGTGCTGCCACTTTTTCCTGAGTGCATTTTCAGAGTGAAGTGGGAAGCTGTCACTATCCTTGCCTTGCATTGTGTTGATATTTTTTAAAAAGGCTATCTGTTATAAAACAAAATGGGCATTCAGGTGACTGTTAGGCAATTAACTGGACTGCTGATTGATAAACAGATTAGTTTTTGTTGAAAGCTGTAATTAAATCTGTGAGTCTGAAATATGAGTCAGGATACATTTTTTGAAAAATCATCCATTTTCCATTGCATATGAACTTGTGCACAATAATCTGACAGTAATGCTGATTTCTTCAAAATTCCATTGCTTCCTTTCCCTTGAATGGCATAATTTTTATCCCATATTAATCTTGTACCACTACTTTTCAGTCTCACCCTGTGTCATAGTTATACGGATATTGAGTTGAATTTGGGCTGATTAAAGGATATCCAGATTGAAAACATCTCTCAGTTGTGATAATATTTGTTTGACGTCTGAACATCAACTTTCAAATGGAAGGAATTTTGCAGTACATTTTGTTTATTTATTAATGTCTAAAAATTCAAATGCTTTTCAGTAAACCATATTTTTGTTATTTAGATGATAAACCCTGCCAAATCTTACTATGGTGTTCTTATCTTTTTTGGTGGGGAAGATTGTCCATACAACAAGGATATATTTATATTTATATATTTTTATATATATATTTTTATATATATATTTCACATTGTTTGGCATTAGGGGATAAAATGTAGAAACAAGCAAAATAAATAGCAATATGCTGCCTTTTGCCTCTGGGAACTACTTAAACATGCTGCCGTTTAAATTACTAGTAGACTTTGAAATTTTGAATACGCAGTCATATGTAGTGATGTCTTTAAACTCGAGGTTTAAAGTTTTGTTTTTATAAAAGCAAAGCTGTAATATCCATAGGGATTTACCTAGCATGGCAGTTAGGCTGTTTAGCATTCTCAAATAGATTGTGTAGAATTTGTCAGCTTTAAAGTTATTTTTAGCTTTGTGTGCATTTTATTTTGGAGAAATTCAAATACTCCATTGAAAAGTTGTTATGAAATAATACACATTGAAATTACTTAGGTTCTTTAGTTGTTGAATTTTTGTTGTATAATATTGTTGGATTTTTGCTGACAAACTCTGGCATTTTTTTTCAGGTTTTCTTAAAGTTGATTTATCTTTTTTTCTTTTATTTCAACAGCTTGATGAAGTTGTCCGCCAGAGAAATCTGCATAGTTTGGAACTTTTCCTTTCATGTGCACAGAAACAGTTAAATGTATTATTAAAGGAAGAGCCAACCCCAGCAGAAAACAGAGACTGACATTCTCAGTGCTGATGATACAGTGTGATTTGTGAAGCTGCAAATCTCCATCTAGCAAATGATGAATATATTCCAATCTTTTTGGATTGTATCATTGAGTCAAGATTGATCTGAAATTCTTGATAGAAATGTTTGTGGATGATGTTCTTCTATTTATTTATTTATTTTATTACTATTATCAGATAGCAAATAGGAGAGGGAAAAAAATCCTTGGGAAAAAATTGGCTTATTTAGGATTTGTTTTATTTAGGATTTTTCTTTCATTAGATTTTCTAATAGCCCGTGTCAAAAGTTTCCGTGTTATGTCTGAAATTATGACATTTCCCTGTTATGTCTGTTTTAAGTTTGGCACCATGTGTTAATGTGATTCACCATTATTTTTGATATTTTAAAAAATGGAGACAAACATTTAGTTGAATATAGGTACAAATCCATCTCTGTTCCAAGTCCTACAAAGTATCTACCCAAGTCCATTGCCTCAGGTGAACCTGAGCAGCTTATTATTTCTTACTGCTTTTGATGTAGAACAGGAGAATCAGTACTGAAACATAAGAGTGTTGTCAGGCATTTCTTAAATAATTTATAAACAAATCCAGTTCTAGGAACAGAAAAAATTAAAAACTAAACAGTACATCTGTTTAGGGTAGTGTAAAACATTGCCATGACCAATGTATAGTATATATTTTATTTCTGTTTTACAGAGCTAGTTCAATTCCAAAAGTCATTTTCTCATGAAATTACGATTAATGTGACTGACCTCAGTTGCAGGAAGAAGATGTATGTAATTATGTGGAGGCTGATACTCACTGCCTCAGTGGAATTTCTGACAGAATAAGGAGTGCAGCCTGCTGACCTCACATGCCCTTTCGAAGTGCATCGAAGGAAGTAGAAGAACTCCCCACTGACATTATTGGACTTTGGATCACTCACAGGTCTTTCTAGTCTTGCTGACAGCAGATGGAATTGGAATTTCTGTGCCTACTCTCTATTGATTGTAGAACTGGGGCCTTAGTTGTAGAAGATCTCTGAATGATATAAGGGAAAATAAGTGTTCATGCTTAGGTACGTAAATAAACTAAGAATGATCTCTCTTACAGTGATCTCATGGACATTTTTTAAGTGTGGTTCTTCTTATTTGGAGGTGTTTTGGGTTTTTTTTGTTAAGCTGATTTTGTCAGCACTTTCCATAAATTGCTTTCTTATAGTAATAAGGAACACCAAATGGTTGCACATGTATTGGCAGTATGAAATATGTATTGCAGAAAGTTAAGGTTTTTATTTAAATCTTTTCCTGTGCTTCATTTTTGTAGTCAAACCCAAAGGTTTTTTCTTTTGTATGCACAAAGGTTTACTGAAGAAGTAAACAGTGCTGGTTTTACTAGATGATGACCTTACCCTGCAAATGGATTAAAATCCAGTCTTCTATTTGATACTTGATTGACTGATCAGTTTCCATTTTTTTGGGCTGATAGGAAAATCCTGTCGTGTTAGTGAGTTGCCTACTCATTTTTGTTCCTAAATCAGTGAAATTTTTGTCTCTGTAACTGCACCAAAGATGTCATAGATGTCCCCATGGGGTTTTTTTAATGTCAAGGTACTGTAAAAAGAAATTGATTGACTAGTGCTTTCTCCTAATGTGTGTTTAATTGTAGAAATGTGGTATAAGCAGATTCCTAAATTAACTTCCTGATTTTATTCTAGGCCTGTACATGAAACAATATTCCTTTTTTACTAAAGACATCCAGGTGTTCCCCTTCAAAGCCAGAGCCTGTTTATCAGCTTTTTCCTCATTAGGAGAGATTTGTATTCTGACTTGCAACACTATGTGAAAGCACTTTTAGAAGAAGCTTATGATTGGAGTCAGTAAGATTTCACTGGCAACTGTGGTGTATCTTTCCCATTAGATCATGTGTTTTTTAATTTCAGCTCTTGAATATTGTGATGGTCACACAGAACTGTACTTGTTTTTTTCTTACCTCTGACAGTTTTAGTCCTTTTATCTTCCTCTCTGTCCTGCAAGCAAAATTACAGACTAGACCACAGATGTGCAGGACCAGACTGGGAGCTGGGGTTACATTCAAAACTCCACGTCTCAGAGAGGAAATTTGCTTATACAGCAAAACCAGACCTATTCAGTAGGTGAGCTTTGCAGCATGCAATAACAACTTCCACCTTCTCCATACGGCATCCAGTGCTTTAAAGCTTATTTTTCATTCTTTCTATCTAACCATAAGAGAGTGCATTTTGTGGAAATCTGAGAGAAGGGAATCAGAATCACAGAATGGCCTGGATTGGAAGAGGCCTAAAGATCATTGATTTCCAACCCCTGCCATGGGCAGGGACACCTTCCACTATCCCAGATTGCTCCAAGCCCTGTCCAACCTGGCCTTGCACACTTCCAAGGATGGGGCAGCCACAACTTCCCTGGGCAACCTGTGCCAGGGCCTGACCACCCTCAGAAAAAGGAATTCTTTCCTAATATCCAATCTGAACCTGCTGTCTTTCACTTTAAAGCCAGGGACAAGTTTGCAAAATCCAGTTTTTTTCTTTAAATTATTTTTTTATTCCTACATACAGGCTGGAGAATGACATAAAAGAGAAAATACCATGTTGTATGTCTGTGGGGTAGAACTTTATCTGCCTCTGAGGCCTGGCTGGTAGTATTAAATATTGTCAAGACTGTACTGCTAGGAACAAGAAACCCTGGTACTAATCCTCAGAATCAAAACGCAAGAACTAGAACATCAACAAAGCTCATATAATAAACATTTTATCTCTATGGTCGTGTACTTCATATTGGAAATAAACCATAAATCTTGTTATATAAAGACATGGGTTGGACGGCATGTATTAGAAGTGACTTAAAAAGCAGGGCAACAGTAGATCTAGTGTTTAGAATGCTGTCTTTCCTTGGTGTAGTCACGGTCACTCCATTTTAACAGTTTTACTCCATGGTCTAGAACTGAGCAGTCTAGACCTTGTGATTTCTGTGATTTGTAGCCAACAGTTTACACAGAGTTAATGCTGAACATTGTGGCATCATACAGTCTGACACATTTGTGTTATATTTCTGTAGATTTCTCTTAGCTCTTTATCTGCTTCCACTACAGGGTTCTAGATTGGCTCTGAGACCACGTGTGTGCAAGTCACACACAAAAGGGAATAATGGGCAACGTTTTTGGTATACTGTCAATATGGGAATATTTGAATTTTTGCCTTGCTGTAAGAATCTCATTGACAAATTACCCTTGAATTCCTTAAAGCATTCAATCCCTTCACTTCCATCATTAGGTGGCAGAACAAAGAAGAAGCAGTAGTCATTCCAGAGGCTGAGATCACTTTAGTATTTTGAATTTTTTGTGCATCTTTACATTGGCTTCTGATCAGAAGTGTGTCATGTCCTGCCAGCTCAGTAAATGGTGAGGTTAATTCCTGACTGTCTGGAATCATCCACGCAGACATGACCTTAGAGAGCCTAATTCCTTTTCACTCCAAAACTCCCTTACAACACTTGAGACCCTGCTCTTCCTCTACTTCATGTGCCCACGTTTGAGCTTACAGATTTTCTCCACCTCTTTGATGAAGGGAATGTGAGTAAGATTTTGTCTTATTTCCTGGAAGAACTTAGCCACCAATATAAATTGTTTATCAGGGGGACTCGTGTAATTTATGCTCACTTTCAGATCACATGCAGTGTCATTGCAGTTATCAAGTGGACTTAGTTTAGGTACTGCAAACTCTATTGCAGGAGTGATGTAACGTGTGCATGAGATTGTTTTAAATTTTTTTTATGTGGACATCCTGGATACTGTATAGAAAGGTTTTATAACATCTGTGGCATTCTTTTTTCATCAATGGTCCATAAATGTGTCAAAGAAACACTGGAAAACACTTTTTACATGGGTACAATTCATGCCTTGCATTCAATTTAATATTCTTGCGGGAATTGACAAAAAAAATGTTTTCTTTTCTGTGCTCTGTCCAAGAATATTGTTCTTCTGAGGCTTCAAGAAGATTCATCTGCTACCATTGTTTTCATTGTTTATTAATTTTAAAGCCCACATAAAGCTAATAGTCCTGCTGCTGAATTAGAGTCATAGTTGAACAGTAGAACATCACAGAAAAACCACCCAAGTTGTACTATCAAGTTTTGTGTTTGCTGAGTGGCTCAGGTTTTGTATTTGTTTCACCATTCACCGATACATCATTCTTGTGATAATAATTATAGTTATTGTCCTATATAGTAGCAATAATAGCAACAATATTTTTCTGTAGTAGATGTGGTATTGGTGTTTTATCCATGTCTTAAATGCTATTTAACTGTAACCATTTTAATATATATCAAAGATTCACATTTGCTTATATTGCCTATAATTCCTCACATTTCAGACTTACACAACCAGCATTTTTTAGATGCTTTCCATTTGTCTGGAATGAATAATACAAATGCGCAAGCTATCACTGAATAAACACTCAAACTATTCTTTTTTTTCAGATGACAATTTTAAACAGTGTAGCAGTGAACACTAGTAAACCAATGAGATGTTTATAAATACACGTATCCTAAAAATATGATTCCCAACAAAATGCTAGATATTTATCTCTTTTTTTCAGATTTGATAATTCATCTGTAGTAATAGGTATAGAACACTGTCTGAAGTCCAAATCATTGGCATTTGGTCTTTTTCTTCATGTTAAAATATTTTGTCTTCTCTCAAAGGCCAAAGCAAATGGCTTTTTTTTTTCCCCCCGCAATTGTCCATTGATGGTCATCAAATGCCTCTCTGCATTTAAAAAGAAACTTGTCCTAACTGACCCCTTCTACACAATGCAGTGGGAGGCTCTTTAACCCAGGGAGAAACAGAACTGGTTTTGCTGAATGAACTTTGAAAGATATTCCAGTTCTTGTACTGCTACCAAATTAGGGCACTGGTTAAGTGTTCGCGTCAATGCTGCTACATAAATTTTCCAGAAGATAGCTGGTCATGGTGATATATGGTCAGTCTCTATTTTTGTGGCAATAATTTTAAATATTCCATTACTTGAACATCCCAGCCTTTTATTACAATCATAGATTACATATTTAGAGCATGATTGGGAAGCAGTGGCTCCCAGGAAGTCAGCGGGAATTCTGCTGGTGGTTATTTACAGCTCAAAATGTCTTCCACATTTCTTGCAGTTGTGACCGTGATGAATATAATGCATACAGTTCTGTCTTTGTGTGGTTCTAGAAATATACCAAGAAATTAAGAGCAGATTTTGTGATCAGTTCTTTGAAGAAAACGTCAGCACTTTTTATGTTGGTGGTGTTGGCTGGAGATGTTGGTGAAGGAAAAACTTGTGTGTCATTATTACTACACTGCTGCTAAGAAGGTCTCATAAAATAATATGACATGAGAATTTGTACTTCAAAATTACATCCAAAAACCTAAAATAAAATAAAAATAATTTAAATTAAAATAAATCAATTTTAAAAATGGAAGCTTATGCTTTTTAAAACTTGGAAGCATTGCAAGGTTGATGCTCAGATACCTTAGTCTGACAAATGTCAATGTTTCCTGAGCATCCTGAGCAGAAGGTTTTAGGATCTTCTATGGAACTTGCCACTGAATCAGGATGATGAACTCTCTTGCTTGATTGCCACACTAGTATTAGAAAGAAAGTTATATACACAATGGAGAAGTCTTTAGGTGTCTGCCAAATGAAATGGAAGAGGATCCAGGTGTTGTGTCAAAAGATAATGTATCATCTAATCATCTTATTGGGAATCAGAAATGTGTTTGCTTCTCAGATTAAATAATTTTTCACTTGCACAGATTGGAACAAAAATTCCTGTAAGCTCCAGATAGCAAGTGCAGAAGGTCTACAAAGGACTGATGGTTGCACAGGAAGGACAAGACTACTCAGAAGAATACAGATTATCACAAGCAGGGCAAGCATCAAGTTGCACTCAATTTGGCTATACCAATATGTAATATAAATGTCATAGTCACAATGTGTGTGCACATTTTCAACATGATTTTTCTTCAACAAATTTTTCAAAGAACAGGTGAGTTGAAGGTAGGGATGATACAGTCATCCTCCTTG